GAAGAATGAGATTTCAGCTTCTCTGGGTATAATATGAGCAGACTAAATATAGAATTGCCATCTATATCATAGTGAGCTGTTTGCATTTGGTGAAGGCCTCCAGTGTTTTCTCAAATAAAAGCAATGCACTGGGTTCTAATTATTTCTAGTTATTCATATGGTTAGTCCTCTAGATTAGGTTGACAGGAAATAAATTAACAAGCATACAAGGTCTGTTTTGTGCTATGTACTATGTTTGACCTTTTAAGATATTTGAGCTCATTTGCTTTTCATAACAAATGGGCATCGAGGAAGTTACTTTCAGAGCTTTCGGTTGAAAAGATTTTAGATGGCCTAGCTCTTAAATAGGGGAGGCAGGATTTAAATATGTTTGAACAGCTCAAAACCCAACACCATGAAGCTGCTTCCTATATTAAAGGAAGCCGAGTCGATAATGCAGTATCAAGGGTTTAGCATGTAGCTCAGTGGCAAAGGTCTTGCCTTGTATGTGTGAAGATCTGGGTTTGATCCCTCCCCTTAAAACAAATGAAATATCAAACTAATAAAGTAAAACCAACTTTGAGAGCGGTGCTTGATGTGCTTATTCATACTCAGCGTGCAGACCACTCCTGTCTTCACGGAATATTCAGTTTAGTGATTGATAAAAACAATAAACGGGGATATTTATGTGAGAGTAGAGCTGACACTACTAAGGAAAACTTATGGCTTTATGGTAGCACATTGGAGTGCTATCAAATTCTGAGGAAGCTACTGAAGGAAAAGTTTCATGGGGGATAAAAAGAAACAAGGTAGACAGAAGTAACACTTTTTCAAAACTGACAGAGGCAGAAGAGAAAAAAGATCAGCCACATACCGACTAGGCAGATGAAGTATGTTTTGTTGGTTCCCATTCTGTAGACTTGACCAATCTAGGACCAGCACTTCATCCAGGCCATGTGCCCCAAGCCAACCAGAAACTTTGCTGTCATCTTTTGTGAGCGTAGTGATTAATTACTGTTGTCAACCCGCCTGGATTAAGAAACACTTAGGGCATTAGCTGGGAACACTTTCGAAAGCATCTATGAGAGCTTTGCCAGAAATTTTCAACTGGGGATGGTGAAAGGAGTTCTGTTCTGAGTGTTGTAGTGATATTTCATTTGTATTTTAATGAATAAAGCTTACCTGAAGGTCAAAGCAGAGCAGTCACACTACTCGGCCATACAAGCCAGGCAGTGGGTACACACACCTTTAATCCCAGTAGCCACACTAGTTAACCATAGAGGATGGCTAGGCAGTGGTGGTGAATGCCTCTAATTTTAGCACTAGAGAGGAATATAAGGTGGGATGAGACAGGAACTCACTCTCTTTCAGTCTGAATATTTCATTGAGGTAAGAGCTCTGTAGTGGTTTGTCTACTTTGCTTTTCTGATCTTCAGGTTGAATCCCAATATTTGTCTCCAGGTTTTTATTAATCTTGCTACAGAATGTAGATGGAACCATCCCGTGGGCTAGATTCCTGGACTGAATAAAAGATGAGGAAAATAAGAAAGTGGACTGATCACTCCCTTTTTTGGGAAGTTTATTCTGCCACAGCTGTGGAACACACCTCCTCTGTATGGGAAGCTGTATCCCACGCTGTGAGCTGAAGTAAACCTTTCTCCCTAAAAGTTGTTTCTTGTCAAGTATTTGGTAGGAGCAGGAGTTACTACCATGCTGGACTCCACTAGCAGTCTTGACCAAGTTAGTACACTTCAAATTTACATGTAAAGTCAGACTACAAGGAAGAAAATACCCCAACTTACCATAGAAAATCATGTTAGGATATCTCCATGGTCTCAAAGACTACCATGACCAGTTTGCCCACCAGGAGTGGAACAGAAAACTGTAGCTGAGGAAGACAGTAGGCAAGGGAGGCTGGGAAGCAGCCACAGGTAAGTGAACTGGTTCCATTCTCTAAGTACATTAAACTCCAAGAGGGTTTACAGGGACATGCGTACCTGACCAAGAGTCTGAGATAAAAACTGATGCAGATTCCCTCTGGCATACTCACTTCCACTGTTTTGTTACAGAATGGTCAATTTGGGCTCAGGTCCAAATACCATCAGAATCCATCCTGTTCACAAGGGGACCCATGCATTGTTTGCCTGTGGCCTAACTGAAACAACTCAAATATTATGAAATCTGGTTAAGAAGGGTGGGGGGGTGGGGTGGAGGGAAGGCAATATTTTGCTTTGATACTAATTCCTTCAGGTCTTTGAGGACTGTCAATCAAGTTTTTCAGTCACCATAATAAAATAGCCAGCTACTCACATGGATACAGAATTCCTCCAACCAAGCAGCCTTTGTCATTAGTCTATAGGCAGCAACACCTTCACTCCGCTTTCTGTCAGAGTATGCTCAGCATCCCATCACAGCTGCTAATTCATCAGCATGAGTACTAGCGGTTCTTGATAACTGACCTTCAAACATTTATAAAATAGCAAATAACTGTTGTGTGCTCATTATGGCTTGATTGAAGGTAGGAGTAAAGACTGATAAAATATTTTAGTTGAAGAATCAGTTACACGGGAAAGTAGGTTATAATCCGTGTGAACACACAGTGGTGGTAACAGACATGGGTGGATCTTATCTTGAGTGCTCTACCATGCTAAGAAGATGGTGGACTTCCTTTTAAATACAAGGAGCAATGCATGCAAGAAATATGGGGCAGAAGGTTTTCTGTGGCAAGTATCAACACCAAAATAAACTGAAGGTGGCCTGAGTGTTTTAATATCTGATATTTTTTTTAAAAAAAATGCAATGGAGCTATGTGTCACAAGGAAGAGTTGTCACTTTGGATTCAAATCTGCAGAGCAAGTGAAAGCTAAATCCTGGCTAAAATTAAGCAACAAAACTTTCAAGCCTCAGCGGAATCTTGGTCCTTTGCCAAAGTGATGATTGTGTGAAATATCGAATGCTTTGAAATTATTACAGAATTCAGCCTGTATAACATGGCCTTGAAGCAGCAACACTGTCAAGCACACCTTTGCTTGGGGCATCTTAGACACAGCCATCAGAAAAAGCATGGGCATGGCTGATTAGTGCAGCGTGGCTTCCGTGGAAGATCAAGCAGCCAGCTTTTTTCAGAAAGGTAAGCGAATCATTTATCTGTAATTCTGTTACTGAGGCATAAACTGTTCAGAGAAAAACAAAAGAAACACTGGGGTTCCTGGAATTATAAACAGCTTGAATTTCAGTCTAAGACAAAGGCATCTATTGGTCACCACAGCACATAATAGTTTCTATTATCTTGATAAAAGGGCTGAGAGTACAGATTCCCCCACCCATTTGCTCTATTCTTTATTGGGTTAAAACTGGGTCTAAAAAATGGTGATGTTATTATTTATATGTTCTAGCGGCTGGATTATCATTTTCCCTACATTACAGTTAAGAAGAAGGTAAGTGTGAGAATCGCTTCTTATGAGACCCTTTTCTATCCCCAACAAAAGAAACACAAAAGCAGAAAGGAACAACACAGAGAGAGACAAGAGAGTGAGTAAACTCATTTCCCTTCTTCCAGGCTATTGAATCATTGCAGACAATATGCCTCCACAAAAACATTATCAAGATCTTAAACTTGCCTCTGGCAAATACAACAACCCATATTCAAACCGCTTATTGTCTTAGGTATTTTGAAAAGTACTGAATGTGCAATTGTCCTCATCATTTCACCAAGTCATTTAGACACAAAACAATTGTCATGTCCCAAGATGACTTTAAACACCTATAAGCAATGTCTGTTAATGCGGTTTTTCCCTCACAAATTTCTTAATGTTCACTTCAAAACAGAAGATAGTAAAAGCTCTCAACTGAATAGGAAGTTTTATATAATAGGAAAGAATAAAATGGAGCAAAGCACCTAGCGTTTAGAATGAGAGAAAACCCGAGTCTGAATCACGGTTTATCACTTACTAATTGCCATTGGGAAAATTACTTAATGTTGCTGAATTTCAACTCCCTCAGGTCTAAAATAGAGATAATAGGAGCTGTCTAATTGGATGGCTACATTATAAAGACATTGTGTACAAAAAGTAGTGGCTCACTTTAGAAATTAGCTACTGTCTTGGTTACTTAGGCTAGAATAACTACTTTATTAACTTCTGGATTCATAGTGGTTTTTTGAGGCACAATTCAGAAGAAAATGCTTTTAGAAAGTTTTAGAAATCTGTGTTTGTGTCTCAGGAGTTCGATGGAAAGTAGGGAACCTTTGCAAGAGAGTTCTTTTAGAGGAAACACTGAATAATAACAGCTACTATGGCTGATTGTATAAAAGCTGAATAAGGCCATACTTCTGGGTGCGTGCTAGTAACTCAGTAAGCAGTAAATTTCTGCTACTAATGCAGTATCAGTTATTGGGAAACAATGACCTGACATACATAGTTGATAATATAGAAGAAATTTTTACTAGTATAGAATACAGGATTAGTCACTAGTGTTGGATTAAGTAGTGGTCTTTGAGTGGACTGTCGTATTTATTGATCTCTCAATCCTTCATGCAGAGTCTGGGATCCCCAACATGTGACTAAAATTATCTTAATTTCCCTCATCTATTTGTACAAAATCACCAAAAAGGCCCAAAATATTGTATAGGTACTACATATTTTTACAACTGGGACTATGAAGCAACTATACTTTCATGATAAAGGTGCTAAAGAAAACAGTGTTAACTGAAAAGGTGGGAAAATTGAAGCAAAAGAACCAAACCAGTCCTTTCACTCATGCTCTCCAAACCAAAAATCCTTCCAGTACATTTAGATTGGAAAGGCAATGTGCAGTTTGTCACCATCCAAACTTTGTAATCTGATCCACTCATTTGACTGTGTGCTAATGAGTACTTTAATGGAATGAAAGGTGGTGACAAAGAGAAACAAAGGTTTCTCCAAGAGCATCCTTTTCTGTAGGTCTTTGCTTTCAGCACTACAAAAGGAGCAACACATTCAAAACTCAATTCTTTAGACATCAAAGGAACAGGCCTGAGAAGATTTGTTTTAAAATAATCAACGGTTTTATTTCCTAGAACTGAAATAGTCTACGGTTCTCAGACCTAAATCTCCAAAAGTATAGTTAATTTTTTTCATCAGAGCCCGAGGGAAAAGGGCAGGGACAAAAGGGTCCAGGCACAAAGGTACATAGAGACAAGATGTTAGGAAGGGACACTCAACTTCTCAGCTCATTACATTTTGCAGCAGGTGACAACACTGAGAGGCCCAGGTGGTACATGTAGATGGAAATAACATCACAAGGAAAGAAAGGCCCCAACAACAAAAAGGTCATCAAATCCCAAATCAAAAGGGAATTCCTGGTTCATATGGCAATGAGATTGGTCGTGGAAAAACTAGGAGCAGGCACAAGCAAAGGTTTTTCTAAATAAAATAAAATTCCTCTTAAAACAAAGGTGATTCCTAAAGTCTTATGTTCTAGTGATATATATGACCAAAGGCCTTGGGGCTCCAAGGTGAATTGAGAGGGGCAGCAGAGGTCTCCCCAAGGGAGTGGTCCAAGAGATATATGGAAAGGATAATGTCTCACCACTTCAATCCAAAAGGACAGGTAAAGTCTTCAGATCTTACAACTTGGGAGCCCCAAATGTTTTAATGAAAAACAAAACAAAGAACATCAACTTCCAAACTGCCTAGGCCAACAGAAAACTTTACTGGTCCCTCCCCCACCAAACCTATACCACTGGGAATGGAGCTAAGGGAGGAGGAGACAGGGACTTGGGGAGACTAGAATCATGACCCCAAAGTATCAACATCACCAGTTTACACACTGCCCCTCCCAGACCTTTGAAATTCGTTTCTGCTCTCTATCCTCCATCCCTTCACTCCTGGTATCCAGGCAGAGATCTAAAATGCCCATCAGAGTTTAGGGAGGGAAGGGGGCCGCGAATGAAGGCACAAAGTTGATGTCAAGCGGTCTATCTGACCCATCCCAGGAATTCGGGCTTGGAGAAGGTGAGTAAATGAAGGAGCTGTGGACTGGGGTGAGGACTGAACCCTAGTGGGTTTCGGCAGTCACAGTCAGGTGGTACCAGGAACGGGTAAAGGGCTCTTCTACTGACACCGTGACTACAGGCCTTCCATTTCTCCAACAATCAGGGCCTGGACCGCCTCCTCTGTGGCCTCTTCCTCCAGCAGAGGAGGCTGCTGCTCCTGGGCTTCATCGGGCTCCTCCACGATGGGGCAGGCCTCAGCCTCCTCGCGCTCTCCAGCCGGCTCCATCTCCAGCGGACCGGGCGCCGCCTCTCTTGGCCGTTTGGGGGCTTCATGAAGCTGCTCCCCCGCGCTCCTCTTCAGACGCCCTGGCTCTACGGCCTCAGCCTCGGCCTCAGCATGCTGCTCTCCCACCTGCTCGGCCTGCTGATCTCCCGGCTCGTACTCGGCAAGGCCTGGCTCTTCGTCCACGGCGTCCAGCAGGTCATAGGCAGGCTGTGGCTCGGGCTCCTGCTCAGACTCGACCTCAGGCCCCGGCTGTGACTCCAGCTCAGGTCGGGACTCAGGCCGGGGCTCCACCCCAGGTCGGGACTCAGGCTCCAGCTCCTGCCCAGACTCCGGCTCCTGCCCGGGCTCCGGCTCCTCCCCTTGCCCCGGATCCTGATCACAGGGCTGCTCCTCCTCTGAGCACAGGCAAGGGGAGGCCTCGACCATTGGGTCATGCTCGATCTCCCACAGCCCCTCGCTGAAGCCTCGCCTCTTGTTGGGCTTGCCGAACCTCTCCTTGGACTCCTCGTAAGGGAAGAGGTGCTTGGGGCCGAGCAAAGCCGTCTCATGGGTCCCGAAGAAGAAGACCTGGTAGCGGTTGGGTTCAGCGACGTGCTCGATCCTCGCTGGCCAGTGGGCATAGCCCTTCAACTTGGCAAACACCAGGTCCCCTGTCTTGTACTTCGGGCGGCTGTAGCAAGACATGGCGAGTGCTCTTGGCCCCACCTTGGCGACCGGAAGCTGACCACCGCGTCTGCGCAGGCCGCTGGCCCAAGTGTGCATGCGCAGTGGGTCCATCTCGAGGACGCTGGCAACGCTTGCTTCTTCAGAATGTTGCGCTCCAAAGAGGGCATTATCTCCGAGAGCCAATGGCTAGTGGAGCCCGACATGGATGCCATGGTTACCTGAATGTTACGGCAAATAGCAGGAGAGGTCCTCATGGCGGTTGTGGTGAGAAGGTCTCAGTGTGGCTCCATCTTGAAGACACCTGTGCCGTAAAGATAATCTCTGCTGTATTCCAGAGTAGCCTAGAAAGGCTGTGATTGAAGAAAACACAATGACTCAAGTGAACACTTATTTCTCTGAAACTTGTAACAATCTGGAATTACCTTTCAGGGACTTTGTGACCAGTATCTGCTCACTACAAAAACCTCAGAGGCTTCCCTGAGAAGTCTAGAGTAGGGGTTCCATTTTATGATTTACTCCCAGCCCATCATTAGAACTTAGATTGAAGCTAAGGGCCGTGTGGAAGTTTGTCAAAGGGAGGGTCAGCAGTCTTGTTAAGGTGTCTCAAAGACATAGGGCTAGGGAGAGAAACTCTAAGGATGATTTCTTGATGATAAATTGTGTACAGCAACACCACCACCATGGCCACCCAGAGATATCAAAATACCTAACAATTCCCATGTGTGAAAAATAATGGCCACATTATGGGAATACTGGGGATATGGTAGATGCTACCAGTACTTTTCTGTTAGAGGAGAAAATTGGATTCTGTATGGGAGAGATTAAGAGGAGACCCATCTGCCCCTCTGAGGTAGGGAGGTAATAAAATTAGGTAAACATTGTTGAGTACTTAAATGACCCTAGTTAAGCTTTTATTTTAAACACCCCTTAATGATTTAATCTCTTTTTAAAATAAAATATTGAATTTCCTAGTTGGCAGCTATTAGACTTTTTCTTTGTATCCTAGTTATCTTGAGTCTAGAAACATCAGCAAGACTACATCACGGCAGCATGGCTGTTTTGTCACATTAGAGTCTCTGGAAGGATACTGGAACAACTTTAAGAAGAGGGATTGTGCAACCATGGCTGCCAACATGCTCCTGACAGTTGGCATAGGCCTTCAAAAGCGGTATTCTTAAAGACAGAATTTGGTAGACACCTTTCAGCCTTTCTCACCCAGGCCAGAGAAGCATCTCATCTACTCCGAACCCAGTAGAAGACCTCTGATTGTTTCTCACACACTACTTCTTTTGAATAAAGATCAATTTATTTCACTTTTTCAGTCATATGGGGAGAGCTATTGGGTCAAATACAAGGGTTCTGTAGGGGTGACTTTTGTTGGTTGTTTGTCTTCTTTGTACTTTATTGTTGGTAGAGTGGTATGAGCTGACAGGAGGAAGACAGGATAACAAAAGCAGAAGCCAAGCTCTAGCGTTGGGGACAGAAGCATCCACTTTTGTAGCAGCAGTCGTGAAGACAGGGCAATAAAGTCATTTTACAGAGCAGTGACAGCCAAAATAATGGGTAGCAGAAGTAAAGAAGACAATGGGCTGTGTGGTGAAGATGAGAAACTGTGGACCTTAGTTGCTGCAAGAGTTCCAGGATATTGTCAAGCCTTAAGGACCAAAGGTTTCAGGCACTCTACGTCTAGGTCTCTGGCACACACCAGTCACAGACTGGCAAAACCTGATACTTAGGTCTGGGAGCTATAACACCTGCTACAGTGGCTGAGATTCCCATCACCCAAGGTCTGTGTGAAAGCTGTAACATCAGCAGGTACTGCCTACTGCTGCCTGAGTCTGTCCACTGCTGCTTCTACTTTAAGCCAAGGAATTATAATTGTTGCCAAGAGTCAGGGCCAGAATTGGTTACAGGTTAAAGCAATAAACTTCTAGTGTGAATGCTTAGCACCATACATGTCTGACTTCAAAAGTCTGGCAACAAAGCCCACTAGTTTTCAGGGTTTGTTATTGTCATTCTTCAGGTATGCCAGCCTAATCCACAGGCCTTAACTTGTACTGGACTGACAATGCTGCAAGAATTTCTCTTTACCGTCTTATAATTCCTACCTAGTTTCCAAAAAGTGAACAAGCCAGTTGATTATTGATTTATGCCTCACAATTATTTAGATGTCTATTCCTCTCAAATATATTGGAATCACAGACCTGCTGGGGATCACAGCCTAAAAACAAACACTGATCTCAATCAAGATATGACTTTAGGGATAATCAGGAGATTCTATGTGGGTGAACTTGTCTTTTTTCCCACATCTCTTTTGAGTTCTTCTACTTATTATTAGAATGTAGATTCAACTACCTATCCATATTTATCACAATACTCTGGGACATTTTGAAAAAGACATTTCTGTACTAATTAAGTGGTTAATGGTACAGATGTTCTTTTCAGGTGTAGTAAGTGAGAAATTAGAATCAGTAGCCAGTTTCAGTACAACACCAATTTCGTTTTGGTTTGCTAAGTGGGACTATCCATTTTAACATTGGGTAACAGAAGCCTGACCTGGGAAAAATGAAATAGTATTTAATGGCAAAACAAAAGTAATTGACAACCCTAATTGCAATCGAGTTCTTTTAGCCTTTCTTTAAAACCATTTTCTTAAGATGTCCTTCTGCCATGGATATCTATAGCTTTATCAAATAGACAAGATCAGAAGTGAAACAAATGCTTCTCAAAAAAAAAAAAAAACCACGAATGCAACACACTTCTCCCTCTTGAGTTCATAAGCAAAGTTCTAGAAAATTAGAAGCCTTTAGTGGAATTTCAAGAAGAGAAACCACAGTATCCCGCAGTTGTGAGGAATCTGAAATTTCTGAATGCATAGGTCAGGTAGGTAGCTCTGCACTGGCCCTCTCCTTTCCTCCTAAATATGGTTATTCACTTTGTGGGTGTCAAGTACAAAGATGACTCTGGTATATATAAAATAAACTCTTTGAGGATATTTTATTCATAAGGGACAGTTATCCACTAGCTTAGTTGTGATGACAAGAGCAAAGCAAAATCTAGCATTTTATGATACAATATCACCAGTGAATGCATCACACCAAACAAGCCAAATAACAATAACTGGGTGATGATTCAGCACAAATACTAAGTGCAGTGAAGGTCTGGGAGAGGAATCCACCCACAACTTTCAAGTAAATATAATAAGAAAAGGTAAGAAGGCAAGACAAATATTTAGATTTGCATAGGGTGATGTAGACTCTTAGGTCAATATGATTCTTCTTACAGATCTTTTGTTTTCTCAGTTTAGGAGATAATGCACCAGGGCATTATTATCCAAACTGTTGTTTAAATGCTAAATAGTGTGCCCTCTCTATATATAAACAGGAAGTGAACTCTAGGGGGAATTGTTAGACATGTGGTGGGGCAGATTTAAAGAACGTACTGCAGAAAATTCTGGCATTTTCACTTATTTCCAGGTCTTTTGTAGCTGAGAGTTGGTGTGTGTGTGTGTACTGATAGCTATGTGCAAACACACATTCTGATACACAGTCAAGTTTTAAATTTTATTTTATAAATTATCTATTTATGAAGTTGAGATTGAATTTAAGTTTCTCTATATTGTAGACTAATAATCTACTAGTGAGCTACCTCAACAACTGTCATTGATTTTTGATATAGACGCTCACTGAGTTTTCTAGGCTGGCTTTGTGGCTTCTCTGTAGTTCAGGCTGACCTTGAATGTTGATATATTCCTCCTTTATCCTCCTAAGTGACTGGGATTATGGACTCACATGACTAGGTTTGGTGATAGTATCTTTCTGAACGTCTGGCAAATATTTTCAAGATATTTAAAATAGCACATGATATTATCTTCTGGATTTCAGGAACACTAATGAGACCATGGGGATTAAAATCCAGAAAACAGAAGATACTGCCATGATACTCTGTGATAAATCATTGTGAAGAACAATTTTAACATAGATGAGAATAAGCTATACCTATCATGGTGCTAAGAGAGAGGAAGGATACATCAAAAAGATTGAATGAGGGCATTGAAGAATGAAGAAGTCCACCAGCAGCCAAGTGTCATGCTGTAAAAGATGACCTGTCCTGTGCAGCCTCAGTATGAGATACATGAAGCGTCCTCTCATTTGGAACTTTGAAGAATAGCATCCTTTTTCAGGTATGTTCACATCTCGGTAACTCATTTAGGAGTTTTCACTTTGCAAAAAGTGAAAAACATTACCTTTTGAGATTAAAACAGACCTTTTCTTTTCCCCCATTTCTTTTATTATCTGTATACACTATTACCTAATAAGAAGGGTCGACACAGATTCAATTGCCTTAAAAATCAACATGTTTTGGAGCAAATCGCTTGATCTTCATGGTAGCTCAATTGGTTTGGATTTGGTTGTTATAAAGTCCTTCCTATAAATACCACGTGAGAGTGAGAAATATCTAACAATATCTAACACTTTCCAGTTGCTTTTCTGGAAAACTAATGCTACGATTTAAAAAGCTGCTCAACAACAATTACGAAGCATCAGTAATAACACTTTTTAATTACACAAGAGAGACAATAGATATCTAATTGTTATTTCCTTGTTTAATTATTTCTAAATTCAATTAGTTTGCTGTAAAATATGATTTAAAAGAAACATAATTGTTTTCCTGTGTGCTTTTATCCTCATTAAAGATATTAACTGCCTCTGGGTTTATACAGTAGATGTGTTTGGTATTCGAAATCATGGTTTTTCTTTTTTTATATTCTAGTAGATGTAATTACACAGGAAATGTTTCCTGATCATGGGTAGAAAACTTCTGACTGTTCACTTTTAAAAAATCACCACAAATTCACTACCACTATATTTTTTCAGCTCTCTATTTTTATCATTGTCCATTGACGTGACATTCAAATCTTTGTTGGTTTCTAGATTTCAAAGAAACAGCCCATGGTGCCATTAGCAGCTGAAGGGAAATCTGAGCTAAATTCTTCTGAAGGTGGCATTTTCTTAGAGTTTCTATTGCTGTGATAAAACACCATGACCAGAATCAACTTGGAGAGGAGATGTGCTATTTCATCTTATAACTCTCGGGTCTTACTCCATTACTGAGCGAAGTAAAGAA